TGATTCGCGCCCTCCGAGTCTGATATGATGTTGATTAACTCGTCAAACTCAGAGTAGTCTACAGGGGAGATGCTAGGTAAGGTAGGTGAGGTCTCCTCCTTTACGGTCGTGCTAGCTGACTCCCAATCGTCCGGAATGGGTCCATAGGGATCCTCAGATTCGGACTCGCTCAAGTCGAACCAGTCAGGGAAGAAGTAACGCTTCGCCACCCTAGTCCTGGTGCTACTTGTCTCGGACAAGGCGTCTGTCTTCCTGACGGGGACAACATTCCATCCGTCACCCGAGTTACTTTCGGCTTTGACCGGCGAGGTCTCGGCACTGGACTCGCGGGCCGGCGATTGGATGCGCGGAGCCTCTTCTATGCGGAGCTCCTCGCTCTCCTGCGTCGCGCTGCCTTGCGGCACGCTCTGCACGACCAGACCGCCACCTTGCGGTGGGTTCGACGGCGCGCTACTATCCCTCGTAGCGCGCATTTCAGCGGCAAGGGGTGACCCTCTGCGGACTTGTGCAGATCGTCCGACTGACTCTAGGTCTCGTCGCAGCGCGTTCCTGACGCTACGAGTTACCCTACGCGATCCTTCGGCGTACTGTGCGAGTACGTCGTAGTCGTTGATGCCCCACTTTACGGCGAGGGCGATGTCAGTCGCGGCGAACAAAGGCGGCCCTTGTCGCTCGCGGAGGATGGGCTCAGCTGGCGGGAGGTGGTACTCGTCCAGCAGGCCTGTCCCCTCGAACGTGTCAGGAGCGGCATACCTCACTTCGTCGAGGTCGCTCCCGACCATACGTACCTCGTCCGCAAGCGTCGGAGCCTGCGGCTGGGTTACGTCGGTTTTGTTGTCACTCGAGTGAGTCGACATATCTAGCTAGATGTTAATAGGTACCTAATGATACAAAAATTCTTTTTTGGACGCGAGCGGGTGATCAGTCCGTCACGAGAGGGTTACGGTGAAACGAGAAAGAAAACACTCAAAAAAATGTGAGGAAACCGGGTTCGTTGACGTCGGCGTTGAGCGTGGTAGGCGTTAGCGGGCGTCGGCGAAGTCGGTAAACACGAGAGAAGCAAGCGAGAGCGGGCGGGTAGCGGATGAGTGGGCGAAGTCTCGTCTCGTTGCTTGGGCTTTCTGCCCGTCGTACGTACGGTATTTATACATGAGCGAGAATGGACCGAATCGAGTGAAGATACGAGTAACGTAAGCGAGATGAGTCATAGGGACAAAGGACGAGTGGCAAGCTGTGGCACAGACCACCACTCGGGCTGGCACAGCTGCCACTCCGAGGACAGCCACGACCTAAAAGGGGAAGGAGTCTGGACCGAGTCGTGGATGAGTAAGTAAAGTGAGTGTAAACGAAACTGAAAAGAAAAAGATATGTATATTCGGACACAGGACGAGCGCTTGAGCGATCATACTCAGCGCTTGTGCGATGTAGCCCGGCGCCTGCGGCGCCACCCTTACAGGGCACAACCGCCACTTTGTTAACTGCTTTTCACTCAGAATACCATTTGAAATCATGTTGCCGACAGTATCAATACTAGTATAGACCTTTCAGCTTTGAAATGCAGCTGGCGGAGCATGTTGTATCATCTGTGATCATTGAGTGTGACTGTGACGGATTTGACGATTTTATTGAATTAGGCAACTATTGCTCAGCCACACCCCCTCAGCTCACCGGTTTGTAGTAGTCAGTATTTCGTGCTAGCTGAGTTACTGAGCATGCAGACAGTGTTACAGTGCTGTTAATATATTGGAGTATACTTTAATAATACTGCCCTTACTGTGTTGGGGACGTGCATAGCACGTCATCCTCTGGCAGCTACGTCATCCACTAGTTGTCATCCTGTCTCATCCTCCGGCACGTGATACCTTTGTCGGTGTGAGAGACGGTGGTTTCGTCTACTCGCACTGAGAGGGAACGGGCTACCTGTCGGTTTGAACGTTGGTGGTTGCTCAGAGACCGGGTCATATTTAAGGTCGTGGAGGTCGTGGGCTGGTGAGGAGCCGGCCGGGAGCGGAGTGTCGAGCCTAGGCGGGGAGCCTGCCTGACACGTACGTGGACGTGTACTAGTGAGGAGCCAGTGATGCACGAGTTATCGAGTCGAGGCGAGGAGCCGACGACCGTACTCGTGGACGTTCGCAGGCGGGTAGCCGGCGAGGGTAAGTCGTGCCTGCAGCGAGGAGCTCAGGTGACGAGACGACGAGGAGCCAAGCTCGGGGCAGGAGTAGGCGAGGAGCCTATCCTTCAGTGCGGCGAGGAGCACGCACTGTGCGTCGAGGAGCGAGGAGCTCACATGACTTAGGGACTTAGCTCCTAGTTCGTACGGTGCGGTATCGCACACGGGCGAATGGTGGAGTTGGACAAGGAGAAGCTAGCATCTAATTGCTGGGCACGCGCGAGGTAACAGCGAGCGCGCGCCTACGTAATTACAGTAAAATACAAAGATATACTAATTAATTAGGGTCGAGGTACGAACGCTTGCGGGTCGCAATTCTCAAAGGTAGTCCTATAGACATTAGTATACGCTGCCTTGATACGTTCTACAGCATCCGTCACAGTCGGGGGTGGTTCGTCTTCTCTCCCCTCTTCCCTTCTCTTTCCTCAGTCATGTTGTACCCTGACTGAGGTGAGACCCATCCTTACGTTCCTACATTGCTACCCATACTTACTGTCCGGGCAGACACTTACTGCCTGTCCAGGTAACTGAATATAGTCATGTTGTACCCCGACTGAGACACTTACCACCTGTCCAGTCTCTATAGGTTATGAGCCCTGGTCAGAGGTTTTAACCACCAAACCAATTATCCTGAGATTGTTTCTAGGCTACAGCTGTCCGTACAACTTTGCCGCACCCATAGAAGAGTGCATATAGCCGCATATAGCCACCTCCCAAGTCTCAATGACTAAGACCCCCTGGAGGCCTGCCGCCGTTGGCGCAGCAGGTCACACTCAGAAGGGGCGGACGGAACTAAACGGGTACGGGCTGTGTATTGCGACTCAGGAAAGCGTGGGGGTCTAGCTAGAGTACGAGAGTGTGTGGGGAGTGTAAGGTCACGGAGAGGGATCGTGGTTCGAGTCCGAGGTTGTGAGACGTTCGACCGCGGAAGCAAATGCGGGGTGTGTACATACGGCATAACACCCCAATATGGTAAGTACAATGATGCGAGTAAGCAGCAGGCTTACACCCTCCCGGGTGGTGGAGAATAAAACCGGGGGGGGGGGTAATAGCGAGATGGTAAATGTAAAGTAAGCTCCTTCCAACCCAACGGGTCTACGACATGGGTGCGTTAAAAAACCCCTTTGGGGAAAAAGCTACCGCGTGGATTACCCACCCTTTACCTGGAGCGCCTCCCAATCATCGAGCGCGACGTTGTTGTCGAGCTCGCTTGCAGGTAGCCACGAGTCGTGCTCGGGGCCATAACCTTTCCATCGGACGAGCAGTTGGCGTTGTCGACGGTATGTCCGCTCATCCAGAATTCGCTCGACGAAGTATTCTTCCTTGCCGGCATCGTTCAGCACAGGAGCAGGTTGATTGAGGTGGCGATCCGGGAATAAGGATGAGTCATTATCCACGTGCGGTTTCAGCTCAGATGCATGGAACACAGGGAATGCCTTCGAGGACGGTGGGAGTTCCAGCTCGTAGGTAGACGTTTCGGGATAGGCACGTAGCACACGAAACGGGCCGTCCCAGCGAGGGAAGAACTTGGCTGCCCGATGTTCCCCGGTGGCCTTGAACTGGCGTCGACGGTTAAGCGTGCTAAGCATGACCTTGTCACCGACATTGTAGGCGATCTCGTCACCGCGCGAGCGGTTTGCGAAGGCCGCCTGGTGCACTTTTGCCGCAATCATGCAGTCGCGAGCCTCCGCAACGTCTTCATTGACCTGGCGGTGTAAGAGTTCGTGGGCTTGGAACCCTTGATTGGGGGGCCGGGCTGCCCGTGAACTTGACGTTTGGTGGTCGCGGCGCGACCGGGGAGAATGTCGTGAGGTCTTGACGTCGTTAGCGAGGCGAGGAGCTCCCGCTATAGTCGTAGCCGGGCGAGGAGCCTAGCTGTGGCGTAGTGTGTCCTAGGACGGGCGAGGAGCCAGGCCGAGGGCGTGTCCTAGACGAGGGCGAGGAGCCGTGTCGAGGGGGAGTCCTGGACGCAGGCGAGGAGCCTTGTCTAGGATTGGTCCTAGGCGGGGCGAGGAGCGCAGGCCGAGAAGGGCTGAACGTACTCGGATGGCGCGGGGTTCGCACACAGACGATGTGGTAGTTCAGGTAAAAGAGTAGATTACTTCCCAATATGGAAGGAGGATGGCTAAGTACAGACGATCTAATCTAATCTACACTAGACAGTTCATAATCTAATCTACTAGGGCAGGCATAGTATTGCCTACCCGTCACAGAGCCCCCCATTATGAAGTGTGTAGTGTGAAGGTGAGGGGTCAAACAAGTGCAGATAGAAGAAGTAAATGTGAGTGTAGAATAGAGGGTTGAAAAGGGAACAAGAGATAAGAAAAAAAAAAAAAATTTCGGCAGTAGACTGCGGCTCCGCCACGCTGAGGCTGAGCTGTCCCGCACGCACCACATCCGAGCATCCATCCCTGTCGTGCATCAGCCAAGACGCACAGGCAACCGTCGGCAACGCCCTCGCATGCTCAGCTAGATCCCCGCATGCTCCACTAGCCTCCCTTGCCCGTAGCAGCCTTGCCCTCTTCCCTACACAGAGGACGTGCTCTCCTGCTTGTACAGCGTCCCGAGCTATCATCCTCGCGAAGGGTTTGCACATCCCTCAGGCTAGGGTCGGCTAGGCCCTGGCATAGCTGCCCTAGGACCCTATCCTCCCCTACCCCCCCTACTGCCCCCCAATCTCGAGTCGGAAGGATCCGGTCGGGGAGTTTCGGCTCGGGATTCTCGTGACAAAGGTAGTGAGGGTAGAGGAGAGGAGTTAAGGGTGGGTGGGCTGGGACAAGACAGAGGTGTTGGGAGTGCTGCCCCCCAGGATTCAGACAAGGCGTGGAGATCACACACTTGCCGAAACCTGAGGTTTCCGCAGGAAGCTGCTCCAGAACTGCGCGAGGTTTTCGCGTTGTGGAGGGGGACCCGAGGGCTCCGCGTCGGCGGGTAAGCTCTTTGCTTGTGAAGGCGAGGAGCCGAGCAAGTCTGTCGAGACCGAAGGCAAACGTGCAGAGGGTGGACATGCGTCGAGCGCACCCGGGACTGATGGTGACGGAGGAGAGTGTCTATCGCGCGAGCCGTCGCGGCCACTAATAGTACTCGCTGCCGGTAGCGCCTTACTCGGGCAATTCGACATGCTTGTCCGCGTGGATCGTAAGGTAGCTTCGAACTCTCGGCCCGTGCATGCCGAAGTAGGCCAGTGTTCACGCAGCATCGGAGACGGGAGGTGAGGTGCAGAGTTGCGAGACGCAGGCGTGCTCGCCGGGCTACGAGGCTGGGGCGAGTAGGACACGTCAAGATGGGGTGAGTGGGCCGGAGGGCGTTGGGCACGCCCAGAAGAAGCGAGCGCATCGAGCGCGGTCAGACGCGCAGAGCGAACGCGCGTAGTGAGCTGCCCCCCAGACGATCTGTTCAAATCGCATGACGGCACCGCACGCGAGTCTTCCACCGAGCACAGAGGCTCTGGCGTCGAGATAGCGTGATCAGGCGTCTCGTGTAGCCATACACCGGCGCGAGTGCGTTCCTCGCATATGTCCTTGCGACGGGAGAGAGCGCGTCTACGCTCCGTCGCGGCTGCTGCCAGGTATACCCTCGCGAGCATAATTATAGCGTCGCGCTGACGCTCTTCACGCGCACGTAGAGCTTGAGCGTGCGAGCGTGGTGACATAGCGCGAGCGGGCCGGTCCTCGCCGTGGGTGGAGGTGCGCGACACCCTCGAGGGATGTGCATCGGACGAGGAGCGAGGGGTCGACACAAGGGCTGACGCTTCGCGGGCGGAGACGCCCGGTGTCGAGGGGAGGCTACCGGGCACGCGGAGGTCTCGCGCAGCCCGGCATCCAACCCGCCGTGGCGTTTTGCTGGTGGTAGGATGGCCGGATTGAGTCGCGGCTGCTGGATGCACTACTCCGTGAAAGGCGCGCGCGACGCGTTCGCGGGGAGCATGCGCGTCGGATGCGTGCGACACAGGCGCAGGAGCGAGGCCGCGGGACGAGGGTGACGGAGCCGGATGGCGGAGGACGCGTTCGCCGGGAGCGTACGTGTTGGACGCGTGTGACGTAGGCACAGGCGTAGAGCCGCGGGACGAGGGCTCTTCGGCGTGGTAGGTGCGCGTCGACGGGAGCACAACGGCAGGAGGGACGCGCGCGCGTTCTTCGGGCATGCGCGTGTCGTGCGAGAGGGTGGATGCGAGCAAGGCCGCCCCGTACACACGCGTCGGAATGACTTGTACGACGGCGGTGGGCTCCGTCGAGTAACTCGCCAGGCGAGCCCTCCACGCCGCTTCCGCAGCCTGTGCTTCGCGTTCGTGGTGCGCGCGTACCACGACTCGCGCGTGTGAGCGCGGCGAGAGAGCGCCGGAGGTGGGCGGAAGTTCGGGCGAGGGAGCCTCGAGCGCGAGGGGGCGCGCGTGTGAAGCGGGCGCAGGTGCAAGGCCCCCAGACGGGGACGAGTCGTCGACGGAGCGTCGCGAGCGCAGAGGCGCGACGGACGAGGGCACACCGACGCGAGGACCGTGTGTCGGATGGATCGTGTCAGCAGGTGGGCTACGCGCGCGGTGCGCCGGAGGAGCGGGCGACGGCAGGGGGCGGCAGGCGCGTTCGACGGGTACGCGCGGGTCGTGCGATAGCGGGCGCGCAGGTCGCGCGCGTGGAGCAGGCGGGGAGGAGAGTGGGGGAGGCAGGTAGATGTAGATGGTACTCACCGGAGTCTCCCCGCCCGCTCCCCCTCGTTCCTTCTCGGTTGTTCGCCCAGCTGACCCCTCTCCGGGCAGCTCCTCCTGCGGTCCTCCGCGGTGGTTCGTACTCGCGGCGCGTGGCGCCCCCGTCCGGTGCCCCGGGAGGTTCGTGCGCGCAGTTTGCGCGGCGGCTTCGCGCTCGCGTTCAGAATGGAACGCGCACGTCCGGGTCTCCTCGTACCGGCGCGGCGAGACCGCGCGTGTCGACGGCGCGTCGCGTTGCGCGTGGGCGTGGGCCGTCTCGTTGCGCGTCGCGCTGCGGGGCGGCTGGTCGTCTTCGCGTTGAGGGCGCGCGCGCGCGCGCGGGTCGCTCGCGTCATGAGTTGGGGCCGGTCGGCTGCGAGGAGAGCGGAACCTTCGCTCGTCCTCGCAGTCCGGTTGGCGCGTCGAGCGGGCGAGAGGGCGCGAGAGAGGAGGAGGAGGGAGGTCGCCGCGAGAGTCGACGCGACGGTCGAGCGCCGAGGGCCGCGCGTCCACCGCGCTCGGGCGCTCGTGCGATTGCGCGGTTCCCACGGGCCTCCGAATGGGCGTAGAGGGCGCGGCGGGTGCTGCCAAGTCGCGGGGAGTGGCAGAAGGAGGTGGCGGGTAGCCTCGAGGCGCGGTCGTCGAGGAGAGGGTGCTGGCACCGAGCGCGCGCGCTCTTCGACGACGACGCGTGCTTGAGCTGCCGAATAGGTGACAGGGCGTCCCAATGGGATTGCGAGAGCCACGTCGTCGAAGGCATTAGGTTAGGATGAATATAGAACAGTTAGAACGAGAATAGACAAGATCCAAATATACGAGGGAGTTCACAGGGCAGTGGACCGGTCCCCTGAGTGTCCACCAATGTAAGAGTTCGTGGGCTTGGAACCCTTGATTGGGGGGCCGGGCTGCCCGTGAACTTGACGTTTGGTGGTCGCGGCGCGACCGGGGAGAATGTCGTGAGGTCTTGACGTCGTTAGCGAGGCGAGGAGCTCCCGCTATAGTCGTAGCCGGGCGAGGAGCCTAGCTGTGGCGTAGTGTGTCCTAGGACGGGCGAGGAGCCAGGCCGAGGGCGTGTCCTAGACGAGGGCGAGGAGCCGTGTCGAGGGGGAGTCCTGGACGCAGGCGAGGAGCCTTGTCTAGGATTGGTCCTAGGCGGGGCGAGGAGCGCAGGCCGAGAAGGGCTGAACGTACTCGGATGGCGCGGGGTTCGCACACAGACGATGTGGTAGTTCAGGTAAAAGAGTAGATTACTTCCCAATATGGAAGGAGGATGGCTAAGTACAGACGATCTAATCTAATCTACACTAGACAGTTCATAATCTAATCTACTAGGGCAGGCATAGTATTGCCTACCCGTCACAGGCGGATGACTCGTTGCGCTGCAGTTTCAGGTGTTTCCGGTCCGTCGGAAGGGGACGTCGGGATGGGGACGAGCGGAGGGAGTACCCCGGCCGAAGCGTATGTGGAAGTTGCTGTAGCCGGTAGCAGCGTTCACCGCTGACATGATGTCAAAGCGGACACGCGGTAGTGCATGTACCCATCCCTTTTGGTTCCGCTGTACATGATAGCGTAGGCATTGTGTAACGGTCTTATTTGTCCTTTCACTGGAGCCGTCTGTCTGCGGGTGAAAGGATGTGGACATCTTGAGCTTCACACCGGTGAGTTTGTGCAAGGCCTTCCAGAAGCGGGACACAAAGAGCTTGTCTCTGTCTGTGATCAGCTCAAACATTAATCCATTCTCGCAGTACCAATGGTTGAAAAACAGTAAGGCAACATCTTCCGCCGATGCGTCTGTACGTGTGGGCACAATGCGGATGTCCGAATGAAGTCGATCCGAGATGGTCATCAGGCAGTTGTGCCCCTCGTCCTCAGGTAAGGGCCCAACAAAATCAATGGCTACTGATGCGCCCCGTTCCTCGGGGACAGGCAGCGGGTGCAGGGGGCCGACCAACTTCGTTGTGCGCGACTTGTTACGTTGGCAGTCCTGGCAGGCAGGGATATATGCTCGTTCGAGATTGCGGCGCATGTTGGGCCAGTAAAATGCGTTTCTCAGTGAGCCGTATGATTTATCTGCACCAAAATGTCCTAACGTGTCGTGTGCAGTTTGGAACAGGCGTTCTCGGACATTTCCCACCCGCGGCACGAGGAGTCGGGTACCAATGTACCATAACCCGTTCACGCATTGAGCACCGGGCGTGGATGCTGCATTCGCAATCAATTTGACACAGAAGTCGTCGGCGGCATAGCCGGAACGTATGTGTGCTAGTAAGGTGGTATCAGCCTCGACGGTGAGTACCGCATTAATTGCAGTGGGGCGTTCGTCTGGGAATGCGTTCGGAGGGACACGCGATAATGCATCGGCAATGCAGTTGTCTTCCCCCCGGATGTAGACGATGGAGATGTCATATTGGGAGAGAAATTCCTGCCAACGTAGTTGCCGACGCGACAGATCCTTTTGACCGTCAAAATTCTGCAGCGTCCGGTGGTCGGTATAGACGTAGACGTGCTCGCCGATGCAATCGGATCGCCATTTCTTCAGTGCGCGGATAATAGCGAGCATCTCCTTCTCATGGACCGGGTAATTCAGCTCGGCGCCTTTCAATTGCATGGAGTCAAATGCGACGGGGCGAGCTGACTCCCATGTGGGGCCATAGCTCAGTGTTGCCCCGGTACGCCAGTCGCTCGCGTCGCATGTTACGAAGATCTTATTATCGGCATGGTTCTCATGGTCGATCACGGTGAGACACTCTGCGCTGGTCACGAGGGACTTGATAGCATCAAAGGCGGTCTGGTGCGATGATGTCCAGTCAGGGAACACTGCGTTCGCCTCCTTCGTAGTGAGCGGCGTGAGGATGCGGGTATGTTCCGCAAGCTTCGGCAGGAAAGTGGCAACGTATCGCACAAGACCCAAGAAGGCACGGACGTCCTTCGCGCATTTGGGTCGTGGCCAATGCAGAATACGGTCCGTCTTAGACTCTTGGGGCCGGATCCCCTGGGTGGAGATGTGGTGACCCAAGAAGGAAAGCTCGGTCACGAAAAATTCGCATTTCTTGAGGTTGACGTACAACCGGGCGTCCTTAAGGGCCTGCATGATCAGACGTACGTGGTGGTCATGCTCCTCAACGGTGTCAGACCAGATGACGATGTCGTCGAGGTAAATGTGGCAGAATTTACCGAGATAAGGACGCAGGGCGGCGGTGACACGACGTTGGTGGATGGCCGGAGCATTGCGCAAGCCCATAGGCATTACAAGCCATTTGTAAAGCCCAAGCGGTGTGGAGACCGCAGTGAGCGGGACGTCGTCCGGATGGACCCTTGTCTGGAAGAAGGCGTTCGTCATGTCCATTTTACTCCATATTTTACCCTTCCCGCAATCAGCCAATACGTCATCTACCCTGGGCAGCGGGAAGTTGTCTGGGACCGTGTTGGCATTCTGTTGGCGGTAGTCATTCACCCAGTGTGGCAACGCGGACGGGTCCGCCTTTGGGATGAGAAAGGCGGGCGAAGCATGCTGAGAGTTGGACGGACGGATGCGGCCGGCATCAAGATGTTGTTGGATGAGCGTAGACCACGCATCCTTGAACTTCCGCGGCGAAGCATAAGAACGCGATGCGATGAGCTTGTTGGCGTCCTTCAATTGGATGCGGCAGTACACATCGGATGGCAACATGTCGGCATGTGGAATAGCCTCAAAAACCTCCCGGAAATCCTTCAAGACTGCATCGCTCCGTCGCTGAAGCCGTTCCCTCATTGCCAAGACTTCAATGGTGTCTCGAACAGCGGCCACCGCTGACACTGGTTTGGGCGACATTTTATCCATCTGTATCCTTCGTGCAGCTGTCGCGTCCCGCAGTTCCCCCAAAACGGCCGATCTATTGTTCAAAACGGACTCTATCTGTTGTACAGTTGGTGGCGGCGGGGGTGGTGACGTAACGGGACGATAATACATGCTATTCAGAAGTTCGAACCCAGAGGCTTGCGACAATACAGTGCGGGCGGCATGATCGACGATGATGCGATTACGGACGAGAAACGGAAGGCCCAGTATGATAGGAACACACAGTCCAGGGGTGACAATGGCGCGAACGGAACGGGACGACCAGGAGAGAGACGGATCAGAGAGACGGACTTTCACGTACTCAGTAAGAGTGACGGTGGTCTTTTGTTGTTGAGCAGCCATGGCGAGCTCAACGGTTTCCGGCACGGGAAGCTTGTAACGTTTCCACGAGGATGTATTCACAACATCATCGCGAATCAGCACTAAGTGGGAACCACTGTCAATCAAGCCCTGAACAGGCACCGCGTCCGTCGCTGTCACGGTCGAGTGCACGACGGCGTCCCACATGAGGTGAGAGCACCGGACGTCGTCATTGCGCGACGGCGCGACAGCAGCGATCGTGGGTGGGCATGGAGATTGACGTACCCATTCAGACTCGTCTGACCCAGCGGACTCCTCCTCGTCATCGGATGCAAAGTTGGAGGCCTGGTACGGAACGACGTTGTGCATGCCCTTGACGACGGCGACAGGGCGCGATGACCCAGCGCCTGGTTCGTCGTTCTCTTCGTCGGAAGCGTAGTGCGACGGTTGCACGGCGGCGATCGGTTTGCCCTTCCCCTTGCGGGCGGCGTCTGCGTCGGCCTGCGTCAGGGTGCGATACCCAGCGGATTTCGGGAAGTCATTCGGACACTGTTTTGCCCTGTGGTCGACCCAGAAGCGTCGACACTTGCGGCAGCCCTCGTTGGCGTCGAGGAGTCGGACCTCGTCCGCGGTCAACTTGGGCAAGGTGGGCGTGTCGGGCCGCGCGCTGGACGCTCGGCTGTTCGCCGCGGTGTTCGTACGACGAGACGGTTCGTTTAGGACCTGTGGGCGTCGTTCCTCGCGTCCCTTGCGGCTCGCGGCTTCGAAGTCGACAAGCTGCGCGCGGCGTTCCTCGTCGATTGCTTGGACCACGGTGCGCCATTCCCACAGCCCGGACGCTTTCGCAGTCTTCAGACCCTCGGCATGGGTATGCAGGCGGGAGGCAAGGGCGCTTGAGACGGAAACAGCGAGCTGGTCGATGATGGCGGCGTCGTCCAGGTGGTGCGACGTGCCCTTCAGAATGGCGTTCAGGTTCTCGAAACGGACGCAGTAGTCCTCAAACGGTTCGTCGTCCTTCATCCTCATCAACTTCAGCTTGCGGTGCGTTGTTTCTTCCCAGCGGGCGTCGAGGAAGTTCTTGCGCACCGCCGCCATGAACTGTTCGAACGTCATTGCATAGAGTTCGGCTCGGCGTACCGCCGTCCACGCGAGGACACGCGGGATCATGATGCGACCCGCAACAAGACGGGTTTGCTCGGCGGCGGGGACGGATTTATGGCCGAAGAAATGAAGGCAGTAATTCTCGAACGTGTCCAGTACTTCGGGGCTGAGCGCGCCGTCCTGTAGGGTCGGCGCCTTCGAGGGGTTGTCCCATTCGACGACAGCGAGGGCAGAGGGCATGCGGCGGGCGTTCGAAGACATGATGCGCGTAGAGGGGCTGTTGTCTGAGTCGGACGGAGAGTCAGAGAGCTCCCAGGGCGGCGGCGTCTTTAAGCGGTCGGGGGTCTTCGGACGCTCCTCTGACAGCTGAGGACCTACGGGTCCTCCCGTGCGGCTAGGACTGACAGTTGGTTGTGGTACGGTGGGGGAGCTTGTCATGGTTGACGTCACGGTGCGTCTCGGTGGCATCGTTGGAGATGGGGTGCACGCCGGAGGGGAGTCTTCCGGCGGTGGTGAGAGCG